CACGCGCAAAAACATCGCAGCGCAGTATAACCAGGCTGGCGTGTGGAACTGGCATATCCCTTTCTTTTGGCTGCCGCATGTACCCGAGATGTTGATTCAGGGGAAGGAAGAAGAGTTCTGGACGCATTTCATGAAGGCTGAGTGTTATAATCCTAGTGCGCTGGATCAGGTGGCTGTGAATGAGTGGGTGAGGTGTTTGAAGGCGCCGGGCGGGTTGAGGGGTGTGCTGGAGAGTTATAGGGCGCATTGGGTTAATGTGGATGTTGAGGAGGAGATTTTGACCGGGGGGAAGTTGAGGTGTTGTGTTATGACTGTGGGGGCGCCGGAGTAAGTTTTGCGATGAGGAGATGTTTTGATGCGGTTGATACTGACGGAATCCAGATTCTTTGGTCCGTTGGTTCAGGAGCAGATGGAGTCTGCGGCGGAGAAGGTGCATATTTCCGAGGTGTTCGAGGAATGCGGGCACAGTTTGGCACTTGAACAGCCTGAGAAGCTTGCCAATCTTTTGAAGAAATTCATTCTTTAGACTCTGTACGCTTCTCGCGTGATAGCTGAAAGATCAGTGTGTCCACCCTTCTATACCATGTCATCCCCAGCACAAGCTATGACCTTGCACTTCTCCCTCTTCCATCGCCATGTCCTCTCCAACACAAGATACTACCTTGCACTTCGCCCTCTTCCATCACCCTGTAGTCTACAATGCAGACTCAACAAACTCGTCAGACGAATCGGATTCATCACTGGCCGCTCATTCACGAAGGGCGCGTTTCGCAAGTATGGCCTGGGACAAATTTAGCGAGTGTCTGTCCCCACACCATGTGACTTACTTTGTCATTATCCTCGATTTTCTCTTTCCAACACTCTTCCGTCAGCTCCTCGCTTACAACCTTGAACTTCAAGTGGTAGCCCAGCTTCACCGTGACACGGTATTCGGCTGCAATCAAGTTCTGAATGCCTGGAAAGAGAAGTGCGAGATCGTGAGGCGGGACTGCTGCGCTGGGGTCTGCCATTGCCCTGAACACTGCGTCTGTCGGTATAGCCTGGAAGCTGAGTAGGATGTTGGCACCAGTCTTGAGAGTGTGAAGTTCCGCCAAGTCTTTAGCTAGTTTGCTGCAATCTCCAGAAGAGATGACAGGGGTGAATAGCTATCAAGCTGTTAGTACCGATAATAAAATGAAATTTGAGAATACAAATAATAAGATGTCTTAAATTGCCTTGGCTAAAGCGTAGCAAGGAGAGTACATACTAGTAACAAGTTAGCAAAAAACCTCAAGAGCTATCCGTGGCGGCTACTTTACCCTCAACACTCCGGATCAGCTTCTGCGTATCGAGGCCGAAGCCATGAAAGTCGGTTCTGAGAAATAGTTCGACGTGGATGGCTTGCATGAAGCGAAACGTGGAGAGCCTGTACCATGCGTGCGCTAGCTCCAGCATCGTGTCCTTGAGTATCGCCCTCGCTTCGAGTAAGTGGCCATAACCACCACGTGTGAGTGACGTCTGGAAGTGCTTGGAACGACTTGCGATCGTGTGGCCGGGTATGGCGAATGCTGGCGAGGCAGTCGCGACCAGGTCATGATGATTGATACTGATCGCCAACTGGTCGCCGCCTATCATATAGCCGTATACCTCATCGCGAAGTTCTCGGGCAAACTCCGTCTGTAGTAGTTCCAGAACGATTCGCTGACGGTAAGCCGTGAAATCCTCCAAGTACTGCTGGAGAACGTTCTCGAGCTGGTCTAGTTTTGCGGTGATTTTGGCCAGCTTTTGGTTGAGATTTTGGAATCGTTGTCGGGTCTTCAAGGTAAGATTACTACGCTTTTGATGAGGCCTTGTGCGATTGAGCTTGGCTCGGTCGGGTACTTCGATGTGTTTGAGGATCTGGATGTGCCTGAGGGTACTGAAACTATTAGCAGCCGCTAGATTCGTAGACTTCGGACGGAACTTACTGGGAAACGTATGCATGGTCGAGAAAGAATCCTACAGCGGGCGGAGTGCGCACGTCCATGGCGATGGCTGAATAACGAGTGAGTAGAGAATGTGGTTGAAGAAAGGTTGGGGCGGGTAGTTGAGACTGTAGGGGCTGAGGAGGGGTGCTTTTCTCAACGCGGCGTTGTGATCAGTCATCCAAAGTGCATGTGAAGAGAAAGAACACACGGGCCAGAGACTCAACCTACGGAGTGAAATATGTGGATTACAGGTCAGTCACGCTAATCTAGAAAAAGCCCAAACAGCCTGGAGCCTACGTTGCCGTTAAGCTACCTACTTTGCAGGATTTTGTCTTAATGTAGCCCGCAGACCTGATTCAACCCAACCAAATCTCTCAGAACTTCAACCCAACCATCTAAGCCCCCCAAAAGCGAAAGCAACATGGCTCACACAGTCGATTTGACTCGTGAAAACGTGTACATGTAAGTCATCTCAAAAGCCTCATACAAGAATCTGAACAGGCGAGCTGCAGCATACATGGGGACGAAAATGAGAGTCGCGATAACCCTGAAGGCAATGTAGACACCTGGGTCATTGATGAAGTGGATGTTTAGTGCTAATATGAGGACCAGCACACTCAGGTATTGCGCACTTATCGACCATGTTCTGGACAAGAACAGTGCACTACTCACGGCGTCCCAAATCGCAAATCTGGATCGTACGCAGTCAGAATACGAAAACTTCGCCGATGCCCATATCGAACATTACGCCCAGCAGTCCTGTCGGGCATTGTGTACCGCCATGCAACATAAGCTTCCACGCGAGCTCCGGGACATGATATACGACCACATCCTCTCCCCTGCTCGAGATGAACCGATTTTCATCAACAACGAGTACTTCGAAGACGTCGACGAGCCATACCGGGATATTGTTGCGGGTTATGCCGAGGAACGCGGATACGGATACGCGCATATGTGTAGCGAGAAATTTGTTGATCTGGACACTATGAGCGAGTTTGCACGTCGCTGGTATTATCATACCAAATTGTGGCTATATCTCACACCTACGGAGGTCGCTGAGTTCTTCGAGACTGATATCTGGGGTCTCGGTCTGGAAGGCGATCGTCTGCTGCGCCATGTCGAGGTCGAGTTGTGCGAACAATTCGACGAAGACGACGCCACTCCACTCCGACAATGCCTATTCAAGCTCGCGCCTGGCGCATCGATCGTTTTCCACCTGCGAGTAGATTACATTTATGGCCCAGGGGAGTACACGTATGACGAGGAAACCACCATGTGCCTCCTCTCCGAACGCGTGAGCGCGCTATTTCCTCTGATGCGGCAGCTGATCGAGGCTGGCTATGAGTTGTATGGGGCGCTGGATGGGTATGAAGACTTTCGTGTCACTCCCGCCACTCTGGACCGAGAAATTTGGAAAGACACGTTGATGGCGCATTGCGAAGGCCGTGATTGTGGGTAGATCCGCTGGTATTGAAGAGCTTTACTGACCACGAACAGGGGCGTGATCGACACGTGACTGCAGGTGGTCATGATGCGACTGGGAGTAAACATCCTCGCAGCTTACTACAAGTGACTGGGTAAGCGCGATTGAACGGGCGTATGCTATATGTAGCGTGCAATTGACTACTTGTTCTCATAATCTTGACGATTTACCCGTATGTATGCACCTTCCTCACCTAAGTGCCGCCATTTGAAAAAGGCAGTCGCGATGACTACCTCCTCGCTCTTGCATCGCGGCATCCATCTGCGCATGCCATCTGTTCCAGGTCCAGCGCTGAAGGTGGAGTTGAAGTCGTCGCGTTGTCGCACGGTGGTTGGATGGTGGTGGTGTCGGCGTCTAGGGCGCGAGGGGTCGCGAATATCCCCGAACACAGGACCTGTTGACTCAAAAGGTATATTGGGAAGCTGCTCGCCAACATCTGCAACCACACACTCTAAATCATCAATCCAAGCACAAGATGGACTCAAAAATCTTCCAATGGGAGCGCACTGTCGCTTCGGGCACCTACCTCATATCCTCCGACCGGTCGCTCCTTCCGTTCACCTTCGTCCAGGAAGCCTACGCGACGGACGCAATGTTTTGGGCGAAACCGCTCTCGTTCACGGACCTGTCGACCATGCTTGACAACAGTCTCACTCTAGGTGTATACTCTGTCTCGGACGGCGTCAAGAAGCCTATTGGGATGGCGCGCTTCATTACCGACTACACGACGCTCGCCTACCTCACAGACGTCTACCTCATCCCCGAACACCAGGGCCAAGGACTCGGCAAATGGCTCATCGCATGCTGTCGCGAGATCTGCGCCGGAATGGAAAACCTCCGGTGGATGGTCCTCTTGACCGGCGGCGAGCAAGCGCAAGCGCTCTACAGGAAGGAATTGGGCATGACAAAGCTTGACGGGGTGGAGGAGGGGCTGGTTTGTATGGGGGCTCGGCGGGCAAAACTCACCGAAGCAGCGGGCGCTCCGCCCTCAGCATAGCGGGACCTAGCGGTTTGCCGTCTACGCACGTATGCAGTTCCCTACCTTAAACATGGACGACTATTCCTCGCGATCAGACGCTACAGTGACAGAAACGTGGTTTGATGGTTGGTCTCGACTGATGACAACGGCTATCTTTGCTTCCGGACTAGTCGCGGGCCCATGCTGCATGCATGTCATCTCTAGCGTAGATATCGCCATCCATTTTTCTTTATCACCATAGACTACTGGTCTGGCTCGCGCCCTCGGCCTTCTGGTATCTTCCGAGTAAGCGGACGAGGCCTGAAGCCTGTTTCGAGCCGGCATGCGACGAATTGTCATCATGGAGGGGCTGTCAGGCCCGCCAGGGCTTGTTGCAACTCCGTCTGGTGGTTGTGTCGCGTCGCGCTGCTACATCGATAAGTGTATTACGCCTACTAAACTGGGATCCGCCTCCGATGCTGCCCGAGGAAGACTAATCTAGATCGCGCATGTGTAGACCTGTCGCATAGATCGCCAGGGCCTTGTTGATATACAGCAGCAGTTGACCCTGCGTTCACGTCACGTCCGCCGATCTTCCACATTTCACACCAACATGACCGCGACATTTGAGTCCTCTCCACTATCACGCACATCGTCCCCGCCAGCAACATTGAAGAGAAAACGAGCGGGTTCTGATACCCAACCTCTTACCCCGCCGTTAGCCGCAAGCGACTCTGAAGGATCGCGTCTGCTCTCGCGCGCCGTCCACGTTCTTTCGACTGCTGCCACCGCGCTCTCGCAGGTCACTTTTCTATATGAGTCCGACCATGTGGCGCGCGATGGTCTCCTCCAGGCTGTCGAAGTCATTACGAAGACCAGCCAGACTGGCGGTAAACTCATAATATGCGGAGTGGGCAAAAGCGGCTTGGTGGGGCGCAAGATGGTCGCGACGATGAAGAGTCTGGGCATAGCGAGCTCCTTCATGCATGCTGCTGAGGCACTGCACGGGGATCTCGGTGACATCAGGAAGGTGAGTTATATCCAAACCCTAGATGTTAAGGGCTGTACTGATATAAGTAGAACGACGCAATCATGTTCATTTCCTACTCTGGCAAGACAGCAGAGCTCATGGCCCTCCTCGAGCACATACCCACGCACACACCCATCCTCGCCATCACATCGCATACGAAACCCTCAGACTGCCCGATCCTTGACGACCGGCCCAACTCCATACTGCTGCCTGCGCCCATACATGAGTTGGAGGAGGTCTCATTTGGCGTCTGCGCGCCGACTACCAGCACAACTGTCACCATTGCGGTGGGCGACATGTTGGCGTTGACCGTCGCAGAGGCGTTACATCAAGATGAGACAAAGGCTGTGTTTAGAACGAATCACCCTGGCGGTGCGATCGGTGCGAAGTCGAGACGGATAGAGAAGGAGGATGATACCCAGGTGGAAGCGAAGGAGTGCGATGGGCTGGTTACGCCGCCGGCTACCTGATCGTGCTCAGGAGGATATAATAGGTGCGAATGTGAGGAATGCGGACACGTGTAGATCGTGTAGATCATGTACATGCGCAAAGGAACGGCCGTAACGAACCAGAGGGGTTTTGCCCCATGTTCTTCACCCACAACAGCACAGTGATGTTGCGACCCCACGCGAGCACTTACGCAGGGAAGGGACTAAACAGGTGCGCTGCAGTCTACATTGCCCACAGGAAGGAAGGTACTTACGTTTATCACCCTTCCCAGGGCTGTATTGGGTGTCTGGTTGTTTCCTTCGACGAAGGTGCAGGGTAGTGGGTGGTACCTTCCCGTTCCATGTGCAGCCTGCACTCACTGTCCACTCACTTTCCACCCTGTCCAGTCCACTCACTTTTCGTATGCGTCACCGTACAGGTTTCTTGTACACAGCCTCTATTACCGTGCATAGATTGGACGGCAGCGCTGATCGACGCGCTCACATTGGACGTCTGCATGGTTGCGGCACAGCTTCGCCATGGGTAGTGCAATGAGGGGTTGTCTTGCGCGCCTTCCGTCTCCCATCTCAATTTTCACACCCGCTGTGTATCTTCAGCTCACGAGAGCTGTAGCCTTTTGTTCCGAAATTGGACACTGGTTTGTTCCCTGATATGGCGTTCTAGCTCGCATTTTGCCCTGATACATGGAATTCTTGATCTCGCGCATCGCCCACCATGGAAGCCCTAACAGCGATTGGCTTGATCGCCAATATCATTCAGTTTGTCGATCTCGGCGCAAAGCTGGTCGGCTCTGCGAGGGAAATGCGCGACTCTGCCAGCGGCATGACGTTGGAGAACAAGAGTCTGGAGGAAGTTACCATTCAGATGCGCGATCTAAGTTCGAGCCTGGACCCTCCCACCACGGACGCGGAAAGCTACGATGAACGAGTCCTTCGTCAATTAGCTCAGGAGTGCCGTGAGCTGTCAGACCAGATCCTCCGCCTTCTGAAGAAGATTGCTCCAACTAGGCCAGGCTCGAAGCGTCAAATCGCAGGCTCATTGATAAAGAATCATCAGTACAGAAAAGAGAAGAAAGAACTCGGAGAGAAGCTAGCAGACTGCCGTAACCGGCTGCATCTGCAATTCGACAAGTTCACAAGGTTAGTCAATGTCACGATGTCGCTCTTGGGCCCTTTCTCTGATACAGGAATAGTTCGAAAGTACATGCGCAGCTCCAGGCCCTTGGAAATCATGCGCAATCAAACCAAGCAATCTTGCAAACGTTACCGCAACAGATCGAGCGTATTCGCCGAGGCACATGTGTTGCTTCCTTGGGTGTTGAAGCCCTAGATCAGTTGAAAGACCTACTTGGATTGACGGAAGTAGCTCAAGAATCGGTCGTAGCTCGGAGTTTCCTCAATGACCTTGCGTTTGAAGGAATGGAGGCCAGAGTTGATGTCATTGCGAAAGAGCACAGCGAGACCTTTCGATGGATCGTGGAGCAAGATGCAGACGTCGACGATGTCACATTGCAGACTAACGCTCGCGAAAAATACCTTTCATGGCTACATCATGCTTGTGGAATCTTCCATATCGCGGGAAAGCTGGGGTCGGGCAAATCCACACTCATGAAATTCCTGTACAAGCATCCGGAAACACGTAAACAGCTGTTGGCGTGGGCAGGTACTTTGTTCTTCCCTGACGTCTAACGTGTCCATTGACAACCACAGATAATAAAACGCTTGTGATGGCAAGCCACTTCTTCTGGAAACCCGCGAAACTGCGATTACAAAAGTCACTCAACGGATTGGAGAGATCGTCACTTTATCAACTGTTGTTATCCCACCAGGAGTTGACGAAGAAGGCATTCCCAGAGATTTGGGAACATCGGATGAGCATCAAAGACGGTCGGATGGAGCTACCACATAGCCTCTCCCCGGATGAAATTCGCGATGGCTTCATGGCCCTCCTACGGGATGAAACCGTTCAGCAATCATATCGATTCTGTTTCTTCATCGACGCTTTGGATGAGTACGAGGACATACCCCAATACGATCAGAAATACATGGTCGACACACTTCGCAAATGGACACAGATCTCTCCAAGCTCCATCAAGCTATGTGTATCCAGCCGGGAAGAGAATGTGTTTGAGAACGCTTTTGCTGGAGATCCAAGGATACGATTACAGGATCTCACCAGGCACGATATGGAGTGTTTCGTACGTTCTAGGCTCGAATCTGTGCAAGACTACAACACCCAAGAACGTCTTACAAGTGAGATTGTCAAGAAGTCAGATGGCATCTTCTTCTGGGTTGTACTCGTCGTCAAACAGCTCCGCCAAGCGTTGGAGGACGGTCATGATGCCTCTTTTTTTGAAAGGGAGTTGGCCAAACTGCCTACTGAGTTGAAGGAGCTGTTCAATCATCTTCTCGACTCTATCTCCCAAATCTGTAGGGAAAGAGCGCATCAAATCTTTGCTATGGTGCTAAAACACGAGACTTTGCCGATCAAACTATCGCTACTGTCTTGTCTACACCTTGATGCAAATGAAATGAACGCACTGTCATCGGTGGAGGAGCCTTCTATATTGCCTGTCATGGACTACCAAGACGGACAAGACCCACAAAAATGGTACGAAGAGCATGAAAAAAAAGCTCGGAGACAACTACATGGGTATTGTAGGGGACTGGTCGAGGATCGAGACCACCCTGAAGTCTGCAAGCAAGAAGGGGGGTCCGAGGACCCCAGACCTGAACCCGACCCTTCTAAACCCGCTGGATCGAGATGCATTCTGTTCGTACATCGCACTGTTATCGAATTTCTTGAAGAATCATCAATCCTGAAGCATGGATTGGGCGAGTTCGATGCGATTGAAGCAATCTCACAGTCGCATTTGGCAGAATTCCAACGCATACCTTCTTCTCTTATCAACCCGCTGTACTGGACATACCTATACGGTAGAATCATCGAGCTACGGTTTCACTCTGGAAAAGATAGGTCGCAGGGCGACTTCCTTGTGCAGCTGGAGCATTTGATCTCACGAAAATTCCCGGATTGGCTGGAGAAAGAGCTACCTCCCTCCGAGGAATGCGTCGACGATGCTGCAGACGAGTTTTGTGCTTTGAGTATTAAAGGAACAGACAGTAAAAACACGTGGGATAGACGTACACGTAAATTCCGACTTAAAGCTCCGGCTTCTATCTTGGCCTGGCTAGGTAATACTTCATATATTCTTTGGCGGGTTTCAAGACTTGACGAACCACCGCTATCTGATCAGACTCGTGGCATCGTCCTCCACTGTTTGATGAGTTGGTTGGCCACGACCGAGAAAGCTGAAGAGCTTGAGAGAATCGTGGCCTGCTTTGGAAAACTCTTGGATGAACGCCCATCTCCTGTTACACGCTTCTTGTGGGTCAATTTTGTCAAACTTTGTTCTATATCCCTACGCCACAATGATCCCATTTGGTCTCGTACTATAGGTCAACTTATCGTCCTGTTCTTGCAGAAGTACGAGAGGAACGTTGTCCACAGAACGAAAATTGAATATGGTGGACAGGGGGAATTCGGAGGATGGGAATGTACAGTTATGAAGGTAAAAGTACCAGGCAAGGTGTCAGCGGATATGATTTTCAGGGGTTTTAGCCCTGGAACTACTTGCTATACTATTAGCAGGGAACTCGGCCACAACGCCTCAATGGAGCAGCTGGTGAAGTTGTGGCATCTCGAGAACGAGCGAGAAATTCTCGAATTGCTAGAACAGGAGCGTAGGGCAATGGACAGCAAAGAACAAGCCGCGGACCTGGTCGTCACGGCCAAGGAAACCTCCGAGAAAAGCTCGTCCGATAGCACTCCAGCTTTCGACACAGCGTCTAGGTCGCTTGAGAGGGTCGACAGTGTAGCCGAGATTCGAAGCGAAAGCGGCGTAACAGCGTCTTGTCTGCCCGTCGAAACCAAAGCAGACGTCGATCCACCCCAACCCAAGGCCGCCAAAACCCGCTCTATTCATGCATTGGGTATCGCGACAATCATCACTCTTCTAGGTGAGACGATTCTAGTGAGAAGTCGATGGGCTTTTGCTGACATGAACTCTAGTGTTGCTGTTAGCTTTCCTCATCGCCCACCAAGACTATTGGGTTCGATAGTCTTCTATCATGGTCTATAAGCCCGTCCGCATCGTCGCAGAAGCGTACCATCACGTCGACCTAGGAAAAGACTGAATACCGCAGGGCTTACATCGACGTTGGGTCACTCAGTTCGGTTGTTTTTATCTCAATGTAGTCCGCAGACTTCTTCAGTTTTCCCCTTGTTTCAGGTGCCATGCATTCGGGGTAGCACTGGTGAACGGCTTTGTGCTAAAGCGCTGATTGTCCGGGCGCTTTGACTCTGATCGAGTCTTTGTTGTCCCCAGCATGATAGTCGATGAGTGAAAGGCGCAAAGGAGGTGGGCGATTGTCTGCTGAAGGTGCATGGTAAACAAAGACTTCAACATACATAGCAAAGTGAGCGAGCATCTTGTTCATCGCGAGAGCAGGCTTCTCGTATAGCGCATCTACATCTTTCCGTACAGCAAGTATCATCACCCAATCTTATACTTATCATGGCAGACGAACAATCCCCCAGTGCAGGATTCTCGCACCAGGAGAAGAGCGGTTTCCTCCGTGTTACTCCCTCGTCAGACAAACCAACGGATCAAGCACAGCCAACCAGTGCACAACCCCCACTCAAGACTGGCAAAAGGCCTTTCGGGGGCGGTGAAATACTCGGAGAGCCTCTCATAAAACGATCCCGGGTGGATGGAAACAATGAATCAAGGCGTTCCAAAGAACGCAGACCAAGGGAACTAGACCCAGCGATGCTAACCAAGCACTTCACCATGGCCAACAAGAAAGAGATCGAAGAAGTAAAAGCGCGTATCGCAACTGCAACGCCATCGAATCCAACCGGCATCCCGCCTCGCTCGACCCGCAATGCAGAGCCCGTGCCACTATCAATGACAACCGGGAAACCGATAGTATCGAAGTCTTTGCGCGACGCACCTCCACTTCCCAGAGACACGCCGTCCAAAGAGCGGCGAGATGCCATGGCACCACCCAGAGAAAACACCTCGAAGCCCCGTCAAGAACCTTCCGCTTACCACCAAAAAAGAATGGCTGGCGTGCAGAGAGATACACCAACACCAACACCAGGTACAAAAGCCAATCCCATATCCTTCAGTTCAGGCCTGCACGCACTAGACCGCGAGTTCCGCTCTGGATCAGGATATTACCCTTCGCAGCAAGACGACGATGCACTATCGCTTCTCTCATCCATTTCCTTGAGTGAAGGGCCAAGGGGTCCTGGTGCACGTCGGGGGCTCAGACGGGATGGCACTGGGAAAGGCTATGACCGCTATGGGAAAGACTGTGACCATTACCAGCCGGCCCGCCGTACCACGCGGTCTGAAGAGAGGAGGAGGCGGGGGGCGTTGGATAGTGGGGAATTGGAGAGGATGGCGAGGAGACACCGGACGATGGGGATGGGGGGGAGTTGTGATGTTTCTCCTCGATCGGGAGATGGGAGTCGTAGTCGCAGTCGCAGTCGATCGAGGTCGTTGGTGAAGAGGGACGATAGGTACAGAGGAGAAGGACATCGTGTAGAAAAGCCACGGGGACGCTCTGCAAGGCTCGATCGCGCTTCATCGCGACGGCCCCCACCGGTATCGCAACGGCCGCGTGAGCAAAGTCCACCACCTTCTGGGCAGGTTAGGAGGGAGGAGGGGGTGAAGAGTAGAGGGGTGAGAAAGAGTCGAGAGCGGAGCCGTGGCGCAGACCGGCAGCGTAGTCGAGGGCGGGAAAGAAGTCCAGAGCGAAAGCTAAGTAGACAGCGGAGTCGCGGCTCTTCACATGGCCGTGGTAAAGATCGCCGGCGTAGTCGAGATCGTCGAGACCGTCGCCCCAGTCCACACCATCACCACAAAAAACGCCGCAGTCGCAGTCGCAGTCCCAAACCCTCCAAACCATCCAAACAACCCCGTTCAGATCCCCCACACCCACCACCTTCCCCTCCCTCCCCCTCCGACTCCTTCTTCGGCGCGGATGAAATCCCCGAACCGCATGAGAGTCTCGGTGTGGGCGAAGGCGAATACACACAAGAGCAGGAAATGGCGTTGTTTGATCTTGCGGTTACTGTGTATGTGCAGAGAGAGAGGGTGGCGGAGCTCATGTTGAATCGGACGAGGCTGCAGTTTGATTTGGATAATAGGAAGAAGAGAGAGGAGGGGGAGAAGGGTGGGGATGGAGGTGGTGATGGGGATGGGGGTGAGGGTGAAGGAGGGAAGGACGGGGATAGGGATGGGAATGGTGGCGGGGACGAGGAAAGGGAGAAGCGTGGAGGGGATGGAGCTGAGAAGGGTAGTAAGGAGAGGAGTAGTAGAGAGAGGGGTAGTAAGGAGAAGGATGGTGGAGGGAGCAAGGAACGTTCGTAGTGTGCATCATATTTCGCTTACGGTAGTGGCTAGATAGATGTACATTGATACCTTTATACTGCTAGACGTTATGTATTCAAGCCTTGATTGGGTATAATTGTTCATGAGTCATGTATCATCCCTACACATACATTCTTTGCCCACGTTGTCTCATCTCTTATTCGCCCAAGGTGCCTTCGTACCTTCTTTTACATCTCCCGTATCCGCGGAATTTCCCTTTGCCCATGGTGCTGCAGTACCGACCCCCGGTGGCGGTGGGGCAGGCGTTCGAGTCGCCCATGGTGCTTTCGTAGGTTGATTCGGGCCACTGGGTACGCCCGCATCTGCACCCCTAGCAGTAGCCCAAGGTGCAGCAGTTACAGCCGGCATACCACTACCTGGCGCTCTGGTACCGGCACCAGCCCCTGCAGTAGCCCAGGGCGCCGCGGTCCCCACCATACCGCCAGGCACACCTCTGATTGGCATGCCAGTAGAGGATTCAGCCATCGGATCTCTCAACGCAGGCTGCGGTCTTGCAGTTGGTGCCGTGTTAGATGGGGTACTTGATTTTGGCTGACTGGCTGTGTGGACACTTGCTTGGATGGCCTTGGCGTTCGGATCGGCAGAGAAGGAGAACAGCGAGCCGAAGGGGAAGTGCTGGACAACGGGAAATTTGGAGAGAACTTCTGCGTTGTACATCTTGATCATTCCCTAGGTCGGGATTAGTCGATGCACGTGGTTGGGATGTCTTAATACTCACTTTGTTGATCTTGGCCCATCCCGCTTTCACGCCAGATACGTCGTACAGGATGTTGCTGTGTTCCCAGAATGGACCCTTCTTGACGTCGTATATGAACCCAATGGCACTGAAGTACATATTCCGTGTTCGCTCTCGGGCTACTGCGGGTGCTTTTGCTACATCGCCTGGGTGGGGAGCGGATGGCAATGAGCCTTCTGCTGCCACGTCTGCTGGTGTGTTGATGGCTGGTGAGAGTTGTGCGCTACCAAATATGTAAGGTACGAAAGAATGATCGTCCAGTCCCCATACGCCATGCGACCCGGCAGGTTCAAGGGTGTATGTCAAGATGAGTCGGCGAATCAATTCGAGGTACGGTTCGATGACCCCAAGTACAATGCCGCGTTCTTGCTCGCCATCCTGCGACGCGGGAAAAGCCCCGAGTTTCCAAAGACAGCCGAGAAAAGCGAGGAAGCTCAGTTCATGACCTGAACCGTAGTCTAGGCGCTGAGAGCTTCCAAAACTGCCGATAAGATACGCTTCCAACTCGGTTTTGGCAGAGACGTCGGATGAGGATTTGAAGGACAGTACTTCTTCCGGAAGATACTGATCCATCAGTCCAGGGACTCGTTCTCTAACGATATCGTACCACGTCCTGAAGCTTACATTTCCGAAACGACGCGGTCCGGGATCTGGTGGCGCTTCATCGATGATGGAGGTCAGGCTGGAGATAAGCTTGGCGAGGCTTTGCACAACGGGTGGATGGGGCACATCCGGGTCATGCAACTTCCACTCTTTCGCGGTTTCTGTGCTGTTATTGTCTTCGCTCTTGATCCTCCGTGGTATCATGGCCGTGTTAAGCTGGAAGATGAAAGTCATGATATCGGCATAGGCTCTGCTTGCCAAGAAGAAAGTGACGTCGTCGCCATCGTGGATGCGCTTCGCGGGGACTTGGAAACTGTGCGATGCATCTCTGCTCAGTACTTCCAGTACAGGTGCTTTGGATGGATTTGAGGACATGGCGGGGTATGTGATGTGGTGGTTGTTTGGGGGTTAGTGGGCAGGGACGATCTCATGTGATAGCGTGTTTCGGGGATGGGCCCACTCTTTCGCGCCTTGACAGCGTTCGATGCTTTTGGCCGCGGGGATGACTTCACTCTCCCCCCACATCGCCGTCATCGCTCGAATACCTTCATTAGCACAGATGCGCTAGTATTATTGACGCTCACTTTATGGCGCGGCTTAAGGATGCGCCCAAGCAGGCAGGTACGTCGTGTCGCAGCTGCCGTCGAGCTGGCGGGTAGACGCGCGAAGCTCTCCAACATGCCCACCAGCTACACGATCCCATATCAGCTTCCATCCAAGCTTATATAAGCTGACGCTCATACTACAGCTCACAAGCCTTCCTCGCCCTCCTCAGACGACAATGCTGCAACCCAGCAGCTCCTCGCCGAGTCCAACTCTCCAAGCGCAAACCCACCCTCATCGTCCGCAGTCCTCGGCGCCAACCTCCTCAATGCAGCGCGTCCTGGAAAGCTCAAACGAGTCAGCATACTGCCTGAGGGAGCCAGACAGAACCTCGCGATACGAGGTGACCCATACGAGATTGAGCTGAGCCCCGAGAAGGGTCGATACGCGTTGCCAGAGAAAGTCAATCACAAACCGTTGAAGATCAATAGGAAGAAGAAGGAGAAAAAGAAGGCAGTCAAGAAGAAGGTGCAGGCCACTGTGCAGGCAGTCGAGGAGCGGAGTGACGTCCCCGCGCCTTCGTCAGAGCTCCCGGTGCACCATGACGCTGGGCCGCAAGTGGATGAAGAAGAACGAGTGGAGGATCTGGCAGTAGCAGAACCCGAAATACGTTCCTCGCCGCCAGAGCTCGCATCGCCTCAACGCACCCCATCTAAAGTCGCCCCGGATATACGCGATGACGGTGTGGTCGATCCCACTGGTGCGACAAGCCTAGATGGAGAACCAGCTGGTGAGCAGGAGGACAATAGTAGTACACGACGAACGTCGAAACGGAAGTCGGAGTCGGATCACAGCGAAGAACAGCCCTCCAAGATTCCGAGGAAACAAAGGCGGACGACTGGCGAATCGAGCGCATCGAGGAAGAGTCACCCGCAGGTACGGATACCGGTCCGGCGAAGCTCGCAACAGCAGGATGTGGCGACTGCGACCGGACACAACAATGTTGAAGACACGCAAGAAGGCGCCGAACCGACTTGGGTGCAGAGAGAGAAGGAACTCCTAAACCTTATAAATGGTCCTGCACGGAAATTGAAACCTCGGAAAAAACGCACCAACGATACCACTGAATCAAGCCAGCAGTTACCGGCTAACGTGAGAGGATTGCAAAAGCACGCAGAGCCGCCCAAGCAAGCTGCGGAAGTTGCTGATGCTCCAGAGACTGAGCACGCGCCTGTTATTGACGTGTTTGGGGACGATTCAGACGAAGACGACGCTAGTAGCGTCGCTGAGCAAGCTGATAATACAACGCGCCCTGCAGGAAGGCCTGGGAGCATCGAAACCGTCTTTGAGTTCCTCAACCTAGAGGCACGGCCAGGAAAGTGCCGAACCAAGCTGGCTGCCACCATCAGACGCGCATGCAAGACATACAGAGCCCACCTTCAGGAAGGTGACCTTTCCATGGACACTGTCGTCGATGAAGCCGACGATTTACGAGGAGCGCTCGGACAGATCAGTATCGATGTCGAAAAGAAGGACCAGCGCGCCTTCAAAAGAGATGCTTATCGTCATGTTTTCCGGGCTCTTACACTGTATCTCGAAGCATTGTACACATGGCTACAGGACAATGGCGGCGAAGTGACCGAGTCTCTGGAGGCTATGAGGATCATATCATCCCTCATGAACCAGATATTGGCTTTCAAAGACAAGATCGCTGAGTGGAACGTTTCCGTGCCTCAACGCTCCAAGGGGGACCGAATCATCAAGGATGTTGATATCGGTCTCATTGCCCATCTTCGACAAGTGAGCAAAACGTATCGCGGACATCTTAGTAGACTCAAAGCCAGGGAGGAGCACCGCAAGATACAAGAAGACTTCGAGCGCAGGATGCAAGAAAGAGAGGAGGAGGAGAACCGCAAAGCCGAACTTGAGGAAGCGCGAAAGCAACGGTGGAAACGTTGGCAAGCTCTGCACATCGTGCGCCTGACGTGCGAGCCCGATGCGCGCAGAAGGAGCAAGCTGGCAATCACAAGACTCGAAGACCTGGAGGAGAGAGACGCCAACGGCGTCATCTTCGAGCGATTGCCAGTATTCACACCTCGCTCAGCTCCACCGCATCGTCAAGCATCGGCGTTGAGCAACAAGCCGGAGTGGACCGAACAGGAAGAGACTGCTCTGCTCGAAGGTTTGAGACATCTTGCTGGTACGTTGGAAGTCATTGTTCACAGCTTATCATCATCGCACTGACATGTACTCTAGGTCCTCAAGTCTTCGAGAAGATATTCACAACGTATTGCCGGCCCGACTCATCTCATTCACTTAGCGGACATTTGCGCGATCGCAGCGTCGCGGAGATCGTCACAAAAGCAGCACAGTTTCGATCAGACTTCCAGAAATTATATCAAGATAATGGCTGGGAGATCGAGGAATGGATTACGAAGATACCAGTGTTGCCGTAAGTGTGGCATTCCTCGATCAGTTCGTCCGATCTTGCTCCATACGCCACTGTGTCTCTTCCCGGGAAGCGAAAGTGGGTGTTGTACCAACGTCACTCTTATCGCCGTTTGTCTCTTTATGATACCCCTCGCGTGCTACATTTCTTTGACACCAATGCAAACAACATCAGTGGCGCATATGTCTCCTCCAGCCCTCATAGCGGCCGTCCATCTACCACATCCCCCTGTGCTCTATATTTAACATTACCACACAACATCGCACCCAACAGTATGCGATAAGCACTGCTGCCACTGCATATCTAGTGAAAGCACGGGTCTACCCTTACGCTCGTGGGGTACGTGGCCAGATCACTGGCCGTGAATGACAATTACGCGAATGCTCAACCGCCCACTGGTAGACATAGACTTTGGTACCGGTAATCTGCCTCCACTTCTCCACTCGCTATCGCACCTATACACAAAGCGCAATATTCAACCTGAATCAATTTTCACCTTGGGGTTCAGCGCACGCGCCCCTCCATCGCCCACGATCGCAAGTCACTCTCTCACTTGAAATTCCTTGCACACCCTTTCTCCCTCCTGACTACTCCAACCCGCTTCTTACTTTCAACCGCCATCAACACCCGAACTTGAATATTCTCCATTTTCAAGTCAACAAGTCAATAACCCTGACGCACACACGCAACACTTACCACAACATCACCACCCACAATGTCTCCTCCCGCTGCTGCTGCTGCTTCTCCGCCCTTCTCCCACGCAGCCAGCCTCGCCCACTACGAGACCAAGAACTCATTCGAGCTCATGGTCATGGCGAAACTGCGTTGCGTTTCTGACGCGGGTGAGAATCAGGAGATTATCGCGCGGCTGATGGCGCAGGATAGGGAGAACGGGACTTGGCCTGGGAAGTACGAGGGGCCTGGGGCGGCTGATGCGACGAAGACCGATGGCGAAGCTGAGGAGATGAATGGGGAAGAGGTGGTTGTGGCGCCGGTCGGGCGGGTCTTGGTGAAAGAAGAGATGACGCCTGAGACTGGAGTTGGGGGTGCGGGAAGGGCGGATCAAGTGCCTGTTGCGATTGTCCCCGGAGACAGACGCGCGAGGACTGCGACTGCGGGCACCACTGCGACTAGCACGAGGAGCAGAAGCCCGATAATCCCCCTGTCACAATTGGCAAAAGAATGGGATCAGGATTGGGGCGCCCCTTTCGCTTTCCCTCTTGCCGCTCCCACCGCTCCCACCGGCTCGAAACCCCAAGCCAAAGCCAAACCCGTGACTCCCACTGAGTCTGTCTCTAGTGGCTCGAAGTCACCCGCCACACCCGCATCTCCCCGCTCGCAAGCCTCTCGCGCATCTCTGGCAACTCCTGCCTCGTCCCCTCCGCCCATTCCGGCTTCGTTGAAGTCGAATCCGTATAACCTTCTCATGAGCGATGAGCAGGACGATGAAGAAAAAGAGGACGACGAAGAAGAAGAGGAAGAAGAGGAGAGCGAGAACGAGGGGCTCATCATCCCCCTGAAGATGTACACGGAGAAGGCCAGGGCTGCCGCCGAGTCTACAAGGGCTGAGGTCACGTATGCGGCGACGTTCAGTAAGGATACTGTCGCTGCTCCTGCGGAACAGGTTGAGAACCTCCCGGCTCCCGATTCGTTGGCCAGTTTTGAGCCATCTGCTGAGGTTATGTCGGTGTCTGGGGTCGGTGTGCTTCCTGAGGCTCCTGTTGTTGTGAGGGACTTTGGTGCTATGGTTTCGCCCTCGTCCTTGCGGTCATCTTCACCCGAAGAGGCAGCCCACAAGTCCGACGTAGCCGCATTCTACAACATGCCTTCCCCCTCTCCCGTTCAGCCAGCGACATCAACGAAGACCACGCCCGTCAAGATCTTCGTAAGCGCTCCCCCACCACCACCGTCATCGCCGCCACAGCCTACCCACACCGTCCCGCCGCCGCCGCCTCCCGTGCCCACCAAAAAGACTCACCACCCGCGTAACGAGAAGCGCAAACAAGACCAGGCTGTTGTGTCGTCGAATATGTGGGACGTGCTGGCCGCTGAGGATACCGGTGATGGCGATGACACCGCTTCTGCCCCTGTTGCTGTTGACACTGATGACAATAACGAGGTTGATAGTGAGGACGAGGCCCCACAAGCTCGGCAGGCGCAAAAGAAGAAGAACAGGAGGCGCGGAAAGAAAGGTGGAAAGAAGGTGCAGGCGATGAAGCAGAAGGTGGAGCAGGCTGTGGAGGTTCCTGTTGTAGTTGCGCCTGTCCTCCAGCGGGCGGTGGCGGTGCCTGTGAAGATGGAGAAGAAGATGGAGAGGTCGCAGGCGCTGGGTGTCGCGGCGATTATCATGGTTCTTGTTGCGCTTTTGGGAGCTCGCGTTCTAGGCTAGAGGTGCACCGCGCGTGCTCAACGTTTTTACCGTTTGGATGGAGTTTTCATGGATTTAGCGGCATTGTCTGGAGTCCTGGAGTTCTACAAAGACACGGTTGTTTACGGGGTCTTCCGGCGTTCTGGTTGCATTAGTATAGTAATTTTAGACACTTCTCGCAACGCTTTGTGTGCGCAACGAAGATTCCAGTGCGCCGATGAATCAGACTGTGGCCTGGTTACCTAGGTATGATTCAAATCCGCCATTGACATCGTACTTTGGTATACAACATGACTGCGATAGCTTGATGTTGTTCGCTGATGTGCCTGCCCAGGTGGTGTGTGTTTTATTGCCGTGATGAGCTTCATGCCACTTCGTTAGCTTCACATCAAACCCGTGATAATTCGTGCGCCTTCGACTGCTCCGCATACCGCGTTACTAGAAGTGCGTCTCGAGGGTTCTACGGATGTGCAAGCGAACGGAAGCGTTCGTCGAGCGCGGCATAATGGAATCGAACTCCACGATCATAATGAACTGGGCGGTGTGAGCTTATTGAAGCGCGCGTAGCCAGGAAGTCCTGTCTCGTGTTGCGCGAATAATTCGAAAAGGGTGAGGATTCTAAACGTAAAGTCCTCCGTTCCTGGACTCGCCCTGAACGACATGGCTACGGCTGAATGGAATGCACTAGCACCGCACGTCGTGGCCCTTTTGCGGTCATTTGAACTGCCGTGGACACCCTCAAGGCCGTCACCAAGGCAGTCATCCCACAGGTGCCGCAAGCCATCGCGAGCTACGCGCGACAACGCCTGCATCACAACCAGCAGAGCCCACGAGCATACCATGTGAAATAGCACCCCCACCGTGCAAGCGATCGCGCACCTGCATACACGTAAATCAACCAGCCAATAACAAGCTTTCACGCAGCGGGAGGGGTCCGCGCTAGTCCGCAGCCAGAAGCTTGTAGGCAAAGCACCGCCTTCCCACAACCACGACATCATCACAATGCGCGAATTATCCCCCCCTTGGCGCACGCCGGCGAAGCAAGTAAAATGTAGCCCATCCTACTTTCACGTGCGGTTTCGTCGCCGCAATAGGCAAAACCAGGCCCACGATGGCAGTGGCTGAGCAACACCGCTGATCGCGAGATAAATCCCTCATACAATTATTTGCTGGGCCTTTGTACCCAGGCCGTGTTGCGCTGTAGTTCACGTGTTTTCTGGATGATTCTGCAGTTCTCTTCTTCTCCTTCTTATTCCATTCCCAATACACTGGTAACTTTCTGTACTCTGGACTTTGAACACGAAAGAGTTATTTTTCTCTTCGCTTACCTCGCCCTTGCGCTTTCGTTGCGTTACTGCACGTAGCGATAATCCCTCAGTGTGTCACTGCGGACTGAGCGCATAGCGACAAAGGCAATATGTGGAAGCCGCCAATCAACTTCATCACGTTGCATTGTAAGTTGCAGACCGTTCCGTCTGATCCGGGAACGGCATGGCTAATGGGGTGTAGATGCATACATTCTCAGTTTCGGCATTCTGGCCCTGATCATCATCTATCCCTATGGCAATCTCTCGGCTATTGATGCGTACTACTTTGGTGTCAGCGCGTCGACTGAATCTGGCTTGAACCCGTATGTTTGGAATGATGTACTGGGATGGATGCTGTGCTGACAGTGCGTTAGTGTTGATGTCAAGGCTCTCAAGACATACCAGCAGATCTTTGTTTACATCACGCCTATTGTTACGAACCTGGGTTTCATCAACGTTCTCGTCGTCGTTGTGCGACTACGCTGGTTCAAGCAGAAGCTCAAGGGCATTGGTATGTTAGATGTCGCTCCAAGCCTGCAGGTGAAGCTAACCCCCAATAGCGGCGGCACACAGTAGACCCAAGAGCTTGCAGCTGTCTATGAGCCGGGCTCAAACAATCGACAACACCGCCGACACACGAAAGATCGAGGAGGGTCTCACCGGCGAGACCACGGTCTCGGAAAAGAAGCCTGTCACTACTGCAGACGAGTCGAACGATCAACCTTCCGCTCCTGCCCCTCGCATCACATTCGCCCCAGATCCTCGACCTCATGTCAACGAAAAGGGAGCTTTGTATGTCCCTGGTCCACGGGAACGCGATAATGGCGAACGCATCACTTCGATGTCAGATGGTAAGCTTGCCAATTGGACCTCCATGAGAACATGCCTAACATTACCGCTACAGAAGAAAGCGACGACGAAGATGAAGACCAGATCAAGCCTGTCGCAGAGTCAAGCAACCCACTACGTCGCCTAAGATCAGAGACAAGAAGTATGAACACGCGTACCATGAGCAAGGCTACCTCCGTAGATCGCGCTGTATCATCTATCTTCGTCCTTGGAAGTACCGCAAGCGGCGCCCGTCGTAGCGAAGACAAGCCGGCACGCAAGACGCCCACCATCGACCTGAGCTCCATGACCCGGGAAGAATTGGGTGGTGTTGAGTATCGCGCGTTGCAGGTCCTGCTTAAGGTTACCATTGGTATGTAGAAAGAGTGATGTATCTGGCGCGCTCATACTGACTATCATTCCAGGATACTTTGTTGGCCTACACACCCTGGGAGTCGTTTGCCTCCTCCCATGGATTCATACCGCACCTGCCAAATATCAAGACTACCTCGCCTCCCAAGGTCAAGACAAGACGTGGTGGTATGCTTCACCTCCTCCCCTACCGCATCGCCATCTCTAACATCTCCCAGGGCGTTCTACTCCGCCCAAACCATGGTCGACAACCTCGGCCTGACCCTCACACCCGACAGCATGGTCACCTTCCGCGACGCCACCTGGCCCATGCTAGTAATGTCCTTCCTCGCCTTCGCCGGCAACACCTTCTACCCAGTCTTCCTCCGCCTACTCATCTGGTCCATCTACAAAATCGCACCCGCCGCTTCTTCCCTCAAAGAATCCCTGCGCTTCCTCCTCGACCACCCGCGCCGATGCTACACCCTCCTCTTCCCCAGCACCGCCACCTGGATCCTCGCCTCCATCCTCTTCGCGCTCAACTTCATCGACACGCTCCTCATCGTCGTCCTCGATCTCGATAACCCCGAAGTAAACAGCTTACCAGTTGGTCCCCGCATCCTAGCCGCTATCTTCCAATCCGCGTCCTCGCGCCACACCGGTACCGCGACTTTCAACCTCGCGGCCGTCAATCCAGCCGTTCAGTTCAGTCTGCTGGTCATGATGTACATCTCCATCTACCCCATCGCCATCAGCATACGCATGAGCGAGAGCTACGAGGAGAAATCCGTGGGTCTCTACGCCGGAGATGAGAATCTCGATGAGCAGAAGGGGGGCAAGACGTATCTTATCAGCCACATGCGGAACCAACTCAGTTTCGATTTGTGGTATATCTTCTTGGGGGTTTTCATGATTTGTATCGCGGAGAGTGATAAGATTATGAGTCAAGAGGACTATGTAAGTTGATCAAATCCCCGAAGCGGGTTTTCTTGGATGGGAAACGGTGTGCTAACGATATGAACAGGCTTTCAACGTCTTCGCCATCTTCTTCGAAGTCGTATCTGCATACGGCAACGTCGGTCTTTCACTCGGTCACCCGTCGAATCTCACGTCGCTGTCTGGCCACTTCAACACATTTGGTAAAGTGGTGATTTGCTTCATGATGCTGCGTGGTAGGCACAGGGGTCTGCCTTATGCGCTGGATCGGGCGATCAATTTGCCTCATGATCTCATTACGGAGGATGGACAGGAGGACAAGTATAGAGATGAAGATGCGACGACGGGTGGAGGTGTTAGTGGGAGTGCGAGTGAGAGTGAGGGGAGAGGGAGGAAGATGATGAAGAGTTTTACGCAGTAACGTTCACAGACATTTTTATGTAGAGAGGACTGAGAGGGCTTGTTGTATACATTATAATAGACCGCGATGCATTTGACGGACATGTTCACAAGATACGCACGGATACAAAATGTGAGGTTTACGTTTAACTAACGATACTTTGACTGTATATAGCTAACTATCTGATCACAGAACTCCAAAGCAATGATACGATAAAGTACGAAGCAGCTTATACAAGCCCAACTTACCTACCCTCTACGCAAGACATGGAAAACTAAGGAAAAAAGAAGGACCAGGTCCTACGAGGATTTCGCGTCAACAGCCTTCACGCTCATCATCCCTACCAGTTCATCCAGCCAAACCCGCCATTGCTGAAGTTATTCCCCATCTGCGGCCTCCGCTGAGTCCCTAGATGAGCTCCATACTCACCATCGCTACCCATACGACGTGGCGCCTCGCGGCCCTCGCTACCACGCACCGCACTACTACGATACAAACCGCCGCCACCGTAACCGCCAGACGTCGAGGGACGCTCGTATCCGCGGTCGATGCTAAAGGAAGTCTGTTGGGGTTCGCGGAAGCTAGAGGCGTACGAGGGGGTGGCGTAGGAGGAGGATGTGCGGGAGGAGGAAGAGGATGTGCTGGGCCTACCCATGCTAGAGAGGAGACGGCGAGTAGCAGACGGTTGCTCGAAACGAGATGAACCTAGAGGGCTGACAGAGCGGTGGTCATCGTATGAGTGCTTGTTAGTGTACGCGCGGGGACGCTCGGAAGCGCGCATAGGGCTTAAATCGCGGTACTGGTACCGACTATCGTATGGATCGCGCTGGGATGCAGCGCGGCCGAATCTAGAGCTACCCGTTGTCTCACGACGGGGTTGGCTAGTGTAGTATCCATAAGGCTGGGAGAAGGGCTCAGTCATTCTACTAGATCTGGATGCGCCATAGCCGTAGGGATCACGGCTAGAAGACTCGTACGCGTCGCGGCGTGAAGAACGGCCGGAGCTAAAAGGGTTGTCGCCGCCGAAGAAGGATCCGAAGGGCATATTAGGTTACTGAGATCGGTGTTTGGTTGGTGTGTTTGTTGGAATAGGTGGATGAAGACTGTCTCGGTCTTCAAAGTGTGCAAGTGCGTGTGTGCGTTGATGTGATGCCTTCAACTGGGAGCTATACTGGGAACGTTTTTATACATCCGAAGCC